TGTCCTTTGTTCAGATAAAGTAAAATAAAACATAACAGTGCAGATCATGTAATGGAGAGATACACTCAACCTCACTACTGAATGGCTGCCAAATGCTCAGCTACTTACTGGGTAATTAGTTTTTAATAACATAATGAAACTGAAAACCAATCTAGTATATTAACTTTGAAAATGTCAATCTTTGCAAATTCATATAAAAAGCCTTTTGTTATGTATCCTAGGATTATCTAGCTTTTTCTGAGAGACCAAGAGGATATAAACACTGAGTACTTGTGCATTAGATAGCTGAAAAAGTGTATTAGTTGAGAAAGAATACTTCTTTGTACTTAATGACCTCTAAAGAATATTTACAGCTAAGTGGGCAAGAAAAGCTTGATTCTAAAAACTAGTGCACCACTACTTAATGATAACTTTTATAACTGTTTAGATGAATATAACAAAAATAGGCCTTGGCTGAGGAGGTAGGTCAGTGGCATAAGTGCCTCTGTGGGAAGCGTAAGGTCCTGAGTCAGATCCCCAGTACAAAAAAACAAAACCGGGCCTCACAGTCATTGAATGACAGTCAATAAGACACAAAATATTGAACTGAATAAGGATTATGTAAGACTTCAAGTTGACTTGAATATTCAAAAGGAACCTGTTTTTGAATTTTATGTTTCCTCTTAATTTACTTTAGAGGTATACTTTTTTTTTTTTTTTTGCTGTACTGGGGATTGAACTCAGGACCTTGCGCTGCAAGCGCTGATTGTACTGAGCTATCTCCCTGGACCCAGCAGAGGCATACATTTCCACATACACTATACGATAAAATACTGGTCACTCACAACTTAAAGCAGAGCATTATTTTGGCTCACATTTCAGTCTCTAGTCAGCTGGTTCCAAGGCAAAGTGCACGGTGGAATTAAAGCTGTTCACATTAGGGAAGCCAGGAAGCACAGTCAGGGAGAAGCCAGGAGAAATGTTTTCTCTAAGTCACATGCCCAGTGACTCACCTCTTTTGACTAAACCCCACCTAACAGCAATAGTTGTAATATTCCCACAATCTAACTTTGTTCCAAACACTTGAGGTTTTAAGAGACATTTTGATCTAAACCATAATATATTAATCAAACTCCTAACAAAAAAATTGAAACATGTTTTAATTTTCACCTATTTTAATTTTTAAAAATTATCTTGAATATAAACTTAGTTAAGGCTGAAAATGCACAATTATTTTAATATAAGACTTCTTGCTGGTAATAAAACATGTAATATTTATTAGTCATGAGAGATAGAGCCAAGACAAGTAACAACTAGGAAACTCCAACTTTTCAAATTAGAAAGTTTGGGAAGGAAAACAACATTCAAAATATCTTGTGGCTTAAGGGGAGGGGTATTTATATCTCTGTGTGAATATATTCAGCAGTTAAGATAGTTGTATTTTTTCTTAAGATTGTAAAAGGCAAATTTCAAATACTTGACTTGTACGAGTACACCTACCACAAGAAGCTACCCACTATATTAACTGTATTGTTTTATTGGGATCAAACTCAGGATCTTACACTTGCCAGGCAGGTGCTTACACTACTGAGCTATCTGCCCAGCCCACTAACGGTACAACTGGTATTTTAATTTTTCTAATGGCATGATAAATGATATAATTTATGCTGTTATATTAGAACATTACCAAAATATTCTATCATCAAAAATTAAAAGAACCACTTGATAACCATCAGAGTAATAACTGATTCAGGTAAGAATCAGGAAGAGATGCTTAACCTCACAGGTAAAAGAAGAGGTATTTGCAGCATTTGCCTACAATTATTTATTATTTTCAAATAGAAAGTGGTTATGCTACAATGAATATATTACTCTGCATTACTGCATACAAATAGGTAAAAATATTGATGATTCTGACAGAGTTTTTACATGTAACTATTTAAAGATCAATTTATGATGCTATTTTGGGGATTAGCTAAGTATACAGATGTTATGTCAACCACAGCATTAAGAATGAGTAGAGGATAAATGGTCTGATATACTTGTAAGGTTTCTACATCTCATATTAAGTGGTGTAATATTAACTCTAATGAAAGGCGTGCTTATTTGTCAAACAGATTTTAAAAAAAGACCCAACTAAACATCTACAACTCATGCACCTTACATATAAACATAAGAACAGGCTAAGAGAAAACAAGTATGTATGTTATGATCAAATGAAATAACTTCTGAGGCAAAAGATTAAACATTTCTTAGCAAGCAGATTAATATTCAATAGGAAATATGTTTTTTGTTAATAAAGCTTTATGGAAAGCCATGACTATTTTAAGTATTTTCTGTGGCTGCTTTTGTGCTACAATTGCAGGACTGAATAGTTATGACCGAGACCTTGTCTTGTAAGGCCTGAGTAATGTAATGGCCCCAATACAAAACAGAATCTCTTTACATTAACGTAATTAATCTTTATGACATATAGATGAACACTTCCCACAGAACACTGATAACAGCACTTTACAACACAGCACTACATTTTTATTTTTTGTCCTGGCATTAAATTAACATAAGCCTTACTTTTGAATACTGGGGAGTAAACATGGAGTCTTGTGCATGTCATGCAAGTGCTCTCTACAACTGAGTTACACCCTCAGCCCCTTTTAATTTTTGAGACAGGATCTTAAGCTGCCCAAGTAGCCCTGAGCCTGCAGTCTTCCTGGCTCAGTATCTTAATTTCAGGTGTATATCACTATGTCCAGCTTTAAACTTTGGTCAGCCAAATTTTAAAAGGAGTATCCATTTGTTCAAGTTAGAAGTATAAAAAGCAAATGGAACTGTGAGTACATACTTTGGAATATGTTCTTCCTAGTAAAATTTTAAGTGGATCTGAGTGATCTTAAAATAATGATGCATTTCCTAAATTTTGTTTTCCCTATTAAGAAACCACATATGCATACAAACCATTTGTAAATTTGTATGAACAGCTCACACTTGATTAAAATAATGCATTTTTGTTGTTTCAATCTGAGAAAGTGAAAACAAAAAACACAGAACAAAAACAACTAGTATATTATATATACTAAATCTACTAAGGTCATTAGCAAAAATAATAGAACAATATGAACTGAATTACAAGAGACAGAAAAGGATCATGATTATGCAATATCATCAAAGTTGAAGTATGGTCTTCCCTTTTGAAAGAGCAATGATTAGGATAAAAAATGTAAAATTATTATATTCAAAATACTAAAAATATTTTTGGGTACAGTATCCCACTTTATTTGGCTATATTCCAAGATCTCCAGGGGTTGCCTGAAATCCAAGCTTTGTATCAAATCTTGTAGTTTTCTATTTACATATATAAGAATTTATAAGTGAGGTCCAGCAAGAAATTATACGGTAAGAAAACATAAAGATTATACTCTAATAATTTATTTATGCATTTATTTTTTGTGGTACCGGTGACTGAACTCAGGACCCAAGCACTTATTCTACTGAGCTATTTTCCCGGTCCTTGTAATAAAATTTTAAAATATGGTGTTTCTCAAAATCTTACAATATCAAACTCACCATTCCTCATGTGACAATACAAATGATACCTAAAGGAAATAATCTGTGGCTTCTCTGGAACACACAATTGTCAGCACCATTACTCTTGCACTTTAGGAGCATTATTAAGTACTGTTTACAAAAAAAAAAAAAAAGACCACTTGAATATAAAGACTGTGATCCCTGAGAGTTGATCTGATAACTGGCTACTGAGTGACTGAAGAGCAGGTAGCATATATAACACTGACACACTGGATAAAGAGATGACTGATGCACTAAGACAGATCAGGATGATGTTACTGAGAACAATGTGCAATGTGAAAGTTAAGAATTGCTATCTCTCTAATTTTCCACTTAACATTTTCAGGCAATGGTTGACCATGGTAATGGAAATGGTGGGAAATAGAATCACAGAAAAAGTAGGACTGTTATATCACTTATATAGGACTTTTAGAACATGCAAATTGCATTAGATATGTGGTGCTAATATGTAACTCCAGCATTCAGATTGTGAATTCAAGACCAGCTTGGACTACATAGTGAGACACTTGGAAAACAACACCAAAACAAAAACCACAAATAAATGAATACACAAATGAATAAATGAATCTTTACAAAAATGGACTAGATCTGCTTTGTCCAAAAGGATACCATTAAAACAATTAAAATCATATGCTCAGTAGTTACATATGCTTAATACTTCATGGCTGTGATGGGGACTCTATATAGCATACATGTTCTTTAAGAAACAGATGTTAATGTATGAATTGTTTTTTTCTAAACCAAAAACTCACTTTCAGGTTTAATTGCAGTATTGGCAATTTGTAATCTGCAAGTGGGGTTTGGGCAGCAGCTTGGCCACACATCTCTAAGAGCTTTGCCATCCTTGCCCTGTGGCATAGGCCTACCTGGCTATAGAACACTACCTACATTACAGGAAGTCTTATAGGGCCATACTAGACTATGTTCATTGTCTACAGATATTTAAGCTATTAAGTAGTGTGATTTCCCTGGAGTTTTTTTTGTCTATTCACTTGTTTAATGTTTTGTTTTTTTTCACTTTACACAAGATTTTGTTCTTTAATTATAGCTATCCAATTAAAGACCTTTTTATGTTAAATTTAAAATGCTATAAATTTCAAGAAGAATAGAATGTACCTCTAAGTAATTTAAAATTTTATACTTTGTAGAAGCCTAAAAAATTCCATAACAAAATGTATAATACATAAAACTATTATAGCTTTATATTCCTTAATGTAATTAGCAAAATACATTGTTTCAACTTCTAAACATAAATTCAGTTTAAAACTAAATTCACTTAAATTTATCTACATCAAATATACAGTAGAGAGAACAGCACATAAGCTGTAAAAATATAGCAATAAAATCAATCAAATGTATTTTAATACTGAATAATTCACTTGACAGAACAAATAGATGAATATTTAATTTATGCTTTAAAATCAAATGGCCACATTAAAAACTGTAAATTAAATGTATATCATTACAATTAACAAAAAATACAGTTCTAACTATAAAGGAAAGGTAGAATCTAAAGTACGTTATATAACAAGAAATTCATAATTGGAAGTGATAGGACAACAAGCAGCATTTCAAAAACAAAATACAAACTGAAGATATAAATAACTCTACAAGTACTTTTTTATGACACAATGTAACTTTTTGGGAAAAAATCATCTAATTTTAATACATTTATTATTATTTACACCTTTTTCAAATTTAGAACTTGCTTTTATATTCAGTGATACTTTCTTTTAACTACAGATCAACTTCTTTAGAAGTATATCATTTCTACTAATAGTTACTTTTAATTTAGTGATGTTTAAGACTGCAGTATCAAGACACTTCAATTTTAAAACTGCACAGTCATGTGCTCTACGCAATGACACTGTGGTTATTGACAAATCCATTCACCTTGTTGGTGCCATAAATTACCAGTAATTTCACAGCCCTCCTACTTTAATGATGCATTTATCAAAAAGTAACTCTGTATCAAACCACATTCTTGTTTAGCAACCCATGATAGTAATTACAAATGAGAACAAATTAGATTAGCAAAAGAAAACAGAACTTTAAAAAGATAGTACAGATTTCTTAGGAAGGATATTCTAATACAAGACCCCAAAACTTCAAGCAATAAAAGCTAAAAACAGAAAATGAAACTTTAAAAACAATTTCTATTAGAATGACCAAATAAAACAAGCATCAAATTAGGATCTTTACTACATATTTAAATAATAATTTACACTTGAAGTCAGATTACCTCCCTTAAGTACCCTTTTAAACACATAAATATGTCAAAAATATCACTAGATCACAAATTCCAAAATGTCATGTTTATATACTAAGATTCACAGTTTCTGGACTTATTTTTCCACCACTTAAACTATGGATCATTGCTATCATGTGAGAGTGTTTATTCAACTCCTCTTGCTGAAGTTTCACCAAAGACTCTCTCTCTTCCAAACGACCTTCTAATTGGGCCTTCTGAACCTCTAAGGATGAAGCCTAGGGAATTAGAAATAGGGAGATAAAAAAATTGAAAAGACAATAACTTAGCATGCTTTTTCTTCACAGATTTTTAAACTCCTATTATCTTTTATTTATAAGACAATCATTTTAAAACACATTATAAATATTCATTTAAATTATAGGGTAAGTTTGATCCAAGTGGTAATTAGGTAATAATATTCAAATTGGGAAAATAATTTGAACTTGTGCTTTCAATGCTAACAGCTAACATTTTGAAGAAAACACTATACATGTAGTACTGAGGATTACTAAAAAGATAAGTACATTGAAGCAGATGCTCCAACACTATAAATGTGGTGGCACTAAGTTTTATCCTTTTCTTGATAATCATACTCTTTAAAAGCTCAGTCTTCTAATCTCAATCTGTTTTCATCTTCCTGGTTACTAAATAGGCCAGCAAGTATAATAAATAACATTCAAGTCATGCGATCATAATAATATACAAATAAGACTGGATTTAGATTCAAAATATTATGCTCATTAGCTGTAATCTGATTCCCTTTCCTTATCTGTGAGATACTAGTGTGTAAGTATTGATATATAACTATGTATCTACATATAGCTATATAAATGCAGTATCAAGTACTAGAAACTCTGTATTCTTTGCACACTTGAAAATTCCAAGTGTTGGCACATCGTATACATTTAATAAATGTTTGATTATTTTAGCAAAAACAGAATTTTCCCACTGTCAGAGAGCTCTCATAGCAAATGACATTAAAGAGCCTTGAGGTCTAATATCTTCTAAACAAAATTACTAAAGCCACAGAACACTATCCAAATTCACCCTTTTCACAAAGTATTTTTTTTTGGGGGGGTGGGGGTAGTGAGGATTGAACTTTTGTCCTGAGCTACATCCCTACCCATTAAATTCCTAATCTGCCTAGGCTGGGTTTGAATTCACAATCCTCCCAGTGCTAGGATTACAGGTATTATTATTCTGGCTACAACATAGCATTTTCATCCTAATGCAAATTAAAATTGAACAGTTTTACCTTAATGCTCAACTCCTTTCTCATCTGCTCAGTTCTACTTAATTCCTTTTTAAGGATGTTAATGGTTTCTTCCTTATCTTCCCTTTCCTTTTGTAAGACTTTAATTTTCTCTTCTTGTGCTTTTGCTTTTTGATGCAAATCTTTAAAATAAACAAACAAACAAACAGCTATGTATTCAGTGTTCTTAAACTTCTTGAAAAGGTAGTTTACAGCTACTGTAGAGCAAAAGAAAGTAAATAAGAAAGATTGAAGAAATAAATTGCTAGAAATATAGATTTCATAGAATTTAAGGAGTAAAAAACATGAAATTTCCCTCACGGCAATATACAACTGGATTGTAAGTAACTTGTTTTGGAGTGTTCTGCAAGACAAGCAAACATTTCTAATACATTCTAACTTGAAAACTAGCAATACTATGCACAAGATGCCAAATGTCACATGACCAGAAATGAACCAATGGTTCTTGCTCTGGCAATGTATGCATCATTGTGGGCTTTACCCAACAGCAAGAGGTTACACAGATCTTATTTGAGGTGGAGAAAAAGAAGAAATCCCTCACTTCAAATAAGAAGAGAGATGTGTGAAATGTGTTAAATGGTGCAAAATTTTGTAGAAAACCACCACGCAAATAAGGATGTAGCAGCAGTGCAATCTCTTTAACAACAATATACTGTCACATTCCTGTGAAATACTCAAAGGAAGGCAAAAGCAAGTATCATTCGATAGGTTCCTTGTTTAAGATGCAGAAAAAAATTCCACGGAGCCAACAGACAGCAGAGATTCCATACTGCCAGTGAAAGTCATTCCATACAATAATGCTCCTCTTGTTGTCCTCATACTAGCCAAAGGTCTGCAAAGAAGTGCAGGTTCATTTATTTTTCTGTAGTTTGTAGTTTATTATTTTGTTTTATATTACAGTATTGTAATTCCTCTTACATTAGTATTTCTGGGTTATAGAATGAATCATCTGTTTCCATTATTTCTTATGGGGAAATATGCCATGATCTTTGTTTGGATTACAAGCATGTTCCCAGAAAAAATTATGTTCATAACCCAAGGTTCTACTATAGTCTATGGAAAATGACAATTATCCATGCCCACTACTTCTGTTTAAATAATATATTATTAAAGAAGAAAAACACAACTGGGGCTACAAGTAACAAGGAGAGTAAGCACTGAAATATTACATAGGTAGTTCTGTACCTGAAGACAAATAAATTACAATAAAAATGTTTTGTGAATCACTGTACAGATACAGCATTAAGAAACTAGTGACTAAAAGTTACCTAGCAGTGCCACCTACTGTTATGTCCTTCAAAAGCATTTTATTTTAAAAAAAGCATTTCTTATAACCACAGATTTCCAAAAAAAATGCCATTGCTTTTCCTACATGATCACCTGAAGAAAACTGTTTTGTGGGCAACCTATTTGGAACTTCTCCTGTCTCACAGGAGCTATTCCTATTCCCCATTACTTTTCCCAATAAATATTCCTACTCTTAACCTCTATTGTTCCTTAGAATTCATTCCTCAACTTCAAGAGAATATGAACTCAGTTTATATGACATTCAGCATTTCCTGTCATGTTGGAGGCCCCTGTAAGAAGAGATACTTGGAAAAAGGTAAGAGTTTGCTTGATTCATGTCACTTCTAAAATATTTGAATTTGATTCTGGATTGTGACTTGCTTAGGTAATCAAAATGATCATCCTTGAATCTTACGTCTTTCCTTTTGCAATTGCGCAGCCTTTGTCTCTTTCATGCACTGTCTGTTAAAATGATAATAAATTTAAAATGATAACATGTGAAGGTTATACTAAATGGGGAATTTCATTCCTATTTTGCTTAAGCTGCATGTGGACTTAATTGCTGAATTCACCAGCGTTCTTGTTTGATTTGACTTGTGTGGTTTGTTATCTGAGACAACAGTGCTAAGAAAAAGCAGTGCTAGAGTGCCCCCTAGTGGCCTTTAACTCGAAATGCTGTAAAATGATCTTTTTCGGATCTGTAGTTCATACTTAGAAAATACACATGCCTATTAAGAAAATTGTTTTGTGAAATGTTACAGAAAAAAAAAAGGAAAGTTACTTAGGGTGTAACTTACAAGACAAGGAAAATATAAAACACGCTGGAAAAAAAGATTATCTTAAACTCTTACTTGTTAATTTACATTCTCGGTCAACTAATTGGTTCTGTACTTCTTTTCTCTGTTCTTCTTTCTCTATTAATTGGGCAATAGTTCTGAAATTACAAAAGAAAACTCAATGTGTCCATTATTTGTGTCTTTTTGTTCCTAACAACTAAGAGAAAAAAATCATAAAACTGTAATTATTGTAAAACTGTCTTTAAAACAAGTGATAATTCTAATCTTATCAATAAAATCAATGTGTATAGAAATAGCATCATTTTGTTTTTTAAAAAATTCCAAATAATTATAAAATCAGAGATTTTACTTTTCATTTTGTTGCTTCAGTGATTCATTCAATTTTTTCACTGTTTCAATTTGTTTATTCAAAGAATCACACGTGATCTGCAGCTCTTTACTCTTCTTTTCAGTTGTTTCATTTCTGAAAAGATAAGGAAACAAGTTGATATCTGGATGGCAGAAAACATATGATGCAAAAAGAACATGTTTGTTTGTTTGTTTATTTATTTAGTTAGTTATTTATTTTCAGGAGCTGGACAACTGCTACATTGCCCAGGCTGGGCTTGAACTCAAAATCCTCCTGCCTCAGTTTCCTCTATGCTAGAATTCTAGGCAATATAATGCTTTTTAAGAGGAAGAGTATTATTAACAAAACAGGAAGAACTCAATAAACTAAAAGTCAGTAAAGATATATTTTGGCTGATGTAATATGAAATAAAAACATGTGAGACATTAGCTTCATAGTTTTAATATTGTTTTAGTTTACAAGATGATGAATTACATAATCTGCTTTAAATATATAGTTAGCTTTAAAAAAGTTTGGGATTTTAAACTTCTCTACCTCTTTTTACTTTTAATTTTACATGGTCTTGCTTGTAATTATAGGTTTTAAAGGTAGCCAAAAGATAAAAGCATTTGATAAAGGAGGAACTAAATATCAAACTTTGTTAGGCCTAAAAAGTGGTGTAACTTGTTTGTTTTTGTAGTTTAGGGAAAGGTCTACAGGGTGTTCAGGGTCTCACTACTAGATGGGACTCTCAGTGATCCACTTGTTTACAGCCTCTCAAGAGCTGAGATTACAGGCATGCACCACCACACCCAGTCTCAATTGCCCTCTCAGCAAGCCCTGGGAGTGGGGCTGGCACATCAGGCCTGGGGATTGAACCCTTGGCCCCTGAGCCTGCTTGCAGGCACTTTAATCTACCGAGCTATTTGGCTGGCCCTGGTGTGTTCTTGGAGAAATCTGGAAGTACCAAAATTTCAAATATATTACATATATATTTTAACTCAGTGATTCACTTACAAGAACTTATTTTATAGTAGTAATTCATATAAACTACATTTAATGACATGAAGATGAGTAAAACAAAAGTTCCTGTCATTTGGCTGAATGAAATGAAACTGCCAATATCCAACTGTTTGCCCTGCAGAGATGAAGAATTATATTTAAACTCATACTACCTACAACAACCAAGTGTACCCAACAATCATTATTAGAGTGCCTAAGTATGCATGTATCAAGAACCATTCTAGGCCACTAAGATTTGTCAGTGATCCAAATACAGAAACTTTAAATCTCAGACTATGGTGACTCTATGAATAAAGAAGTTAAAAGAGTCTTGTATTTCATTTCTTACTTTGCTAAGGAATTTAAGGAAGCAATACTTTAGTTCATTATGATTTAAGTTAGTTTTTGTTTTTTGCTAACTACTTCTTTTATGGGATTATCAGAATGTACAACATGCTTACAAAAGTTTTTTGGAATTTATAGTCACAGAAAAAAAAAATATGGTATGTTCACTCCAGATTCTAACTTCACACAGAAACTGCCATTTACCTCTGAAGAAGTTCCATGTAGGATTTTGTCAGTATTTCATGCTCTTCAGCCACAGACTCTAATTTCCTATTATGCTGAAAGAGATGCTCAATATCACTCTGGGCTCTTTCTGACTCAAGCTGTTGAGACTTTAGTAGCACACCAAGCTCTTCATTTTTTCTTTCAACTTCTCTTAACATACCAGCAAGTGTCCGTGCCTCAAAAGAAAAAAGCATGTAGACTTTTTCATTATTATTTAGAGATAGCTACACAACATACAATATTCTATTCAACAACAAATCATATACAGAATGGTGGTTCCATAAGTTTATATTACATTTCTATACTGTAGCCGTCTAAGCTTATGCATGTTCTGTCTGCCCCAGAATGAAACTGCTGAACACATTTCTCAAGATATTATTTCCAACGTTAAGTAATGCATAAATTCAATATGAACATATCTAATCGGTAAGCATCTACTGAGTTGTGGAAAATTCTTTTATTTATAAATATTTACTTAACTACTAATAAATACAGACATAGCACCTCTTATCCAAAATGAATGGGAATTTCATGGTGTAGAATTCTTCCCTTTTGAGCATTATGTCAGTGCTCAAAAAACTGGATTTTGAAGTGTTTTCAATTACAAGGTTTTGGATCAAACAGTATCATTACAGATTTTATGTAAAATATTGTTCTGGCAATATATGACCAGACTAATAAACTGAACAAATGTGTAACATAAAACTAATCTGACATATTGCAAAAGCGTATGGTTTGAGGGGCTAGCCATGAACACTAAGCCACTAAGTTTGCACATATCAGTTTTCTCATTTCAGGTAAGAATCAAGAATAAGATCTTAGCTATACCACAGCTGCTTAACCTAATAGTCAAGTCAGAATAAGTAGGGAATACCATTGTCATTGAGAGACGTGAAACATTATGGAAGTGAAAAACAATTATAAAAAGAGGGTTCTTCTATTTCTTTAGCCTTAAAAACATTACTTTTAAGTGGCAGAGAAATTTAAGACCTATTCTCTTTTTAGCATGTACTATAAAAAAATATCACTTACTGCATTTAAATGGGGCAATTTTACAGTATTGTGTTTAACACATTAAATTTTCCAATAAAATTCAAGACATCTAAGATACATAGAAGAATGTTCTATGATAAGTGACAATTATAAAGTATTTTAACATCATTAATTTTCTTTCTTGGAACTTATGCTAAGACAAATTATACCATGTTAAAATAAAAAAGAAGACAAAACAGCTATGTTATTCAAGAATATGTTTATTCTAAAAGATTTTAAAGGTATACTTGTGAATGACTTAATGCTTTTCCAAAAGCTAAACTTTATTATATAATTTATTACAAATGAAATCAAGTTGTACAGATTTTCATTTGTACATAAAATTTCGTATTACTGAAGCAAACTCCCAGCCATAAGCTAAACATCTTGTGTAAACATGGACATAGCACAAGAACCAACTTACCAAGCACCTACTACATATAAAGGGCATTCAAGGTCTCAGAGATAATCTTGATATCACAAGTTGCATGGGAGTATGTGATTTTCATATGGAAATATCATAAAGTGATAAGCATAGACTAGACACATAGAAGAAAATTAGCCAAGTACATGAATGTCTTCTGGAAAATAGAGAAGACTATGAAAAGTCAAGCAAAGAAAAAGAAAAGATGTCTCAAAATAAAAAGCGCAAGGACAAGGAAAAATAGAGTATAATAGCATGTTTCAGAAAAGGCAAAGTATTCTAATATGGTTGGCTACAATAAATGTGCACAAATGCTAGATGTTGGTTAAGAAGCTGTTAGAATCTGTGTGTATCACACTAAGGAATTTTAATAGTCTAAAAGCAATGGTGGGTACTATGAAGGACATGCAGCACAGGAAGGAGGAAAAGAATCTGATTATCACCTTAACAGTTCCTAGGGAAAATAGTGAAGCACAGTAGAGCTAAGCAAACTTGGCAAATACTCATCGGTGAGTTACATGATTTCCATGTTTCTTTCTTTCTTTTTTTTTTTCATTTTAAGACATGAATTTATTTTTATTTTTTTCAAACCAAATCGGTAGGACAGCTTCAATAATTAACACATTGCATACATTCTTGTGGTTAACAGCTGTACAAGATGCAGACATGATATCCTATTTACAACCACCATTAGAACAAACCCCTCTATTCATTAAGAGAATGTAACTGCATATCTATCCTAAACACTTTGAATACAGAGATACAAAACGGACATTCATCTGTATCCCCTTTTTTAAAGTTCCATTATTTGAATATTATAGGTGTGTAAACTCAGCAAAATATTCTAAAAGAGTCCAGTGGTCTATAATAGTATTGGGTCTTCTGCTTCACGGGCAATGTCAGAAAGTGTTGACCTGAATCCCCTACAGCTCAGCCTAACAGCATGGCTTTACTTCTTATATTTCATTTTTATATTTTTCTGCTGGTTGGTTAAGACCAAAGTAAAGCAGGACCTATGCAACAAGAGTTGCAGCCTTTGGGTCTGATAAGGTCAGTGAAATGCCCTCAGGATTTATCCTGAGATCCTGTACCTCAGATTGTAGAACATTTGTCAGTGTCAGCCATGTGGATGAGACATGGCCATTGCTTGGCCAATGTGCTTTCTGTGAAAGCCTGAGAGAATGTTTTATCTCCATGTGGCTCTCCTTGGGCACACTCTACTTCATCGATCACTTTCCTCTTTGGACCCATAATCTCCTTGACCAGAAAATTTGGGACACTACCAAGTTACATGACATTACAGTACAAGCTCTCATATGTCCTGAGTCTTAATTGACCTTGGAAGGCTGGGTCAAAATGTTGGCTTTCCTTGCGGCCCTCCTTTTTCTCTAATTTTGGTCTGCAAACTTAAGTTGTTAACCATCCAGAAGACAAGCTTATTGTTATTACCATACAACTTAGGCTGTTAAGCTAAGTTGTAGCTTAACAACTTAGCTTAACCTCACTATCTGTCTGAATATCAAACATCTTAGGCATAACATGGAACAGGTATTTTTCATCAAGTATTCATATGTTGAACTTTAAGTCCCTACAGAATATGATGAAAAAACATTTAAAAATTAGAGTATATTTTTAAATATAGGCATAAAGAATTATATACTTCTTATGTCTACACATAAGTCCAAAAATCTCACCATCTACAACCTTGAAGCAGGACAGTCCCACAATTTTCCTTTTCCTATCTCTTGCATTCAGTCACCACCCTCTTCTTTTTGAACAATCATCTACCCGAGAGACAGCACAGCAGCAACTGCCATGTCATGACAAGCAGCCCGTATTCAGAAGACCAGAATGATAGGCACTCTAAGCATGAAACTACTATTACAGATTACCATCTGCAGTGCAGATGCTTAGTTCACAGGTATCAGTATATATAGTTAGGGTGAGAATCTTTCCAATTAACTGCTACATTCAAAAATCTTCTGGAGATTCTCAGGATCATTGCCTTGCCCATCTTCTACATAGAACTGTATGGCTTGACATTGTCATGTTTCCTAGCTCTTCTCCTTTTCCTCTCTTGATTTGCCAGTCCTCAAGATCCTGCTTTCCTTTTACTTGTATTATACCTTTCTATTTGTATTTCTTCTTTTGAGTTCTTATACTAGGGAAACTACAATATTTACACGTGTGACTGGTTTATTTCACTTATGAGTATATCATCAAGTGGCATCCATTTCAATATAAAGGCTTCAAGTTTATCATTCTTAATAGCTGAATACTCCATTGTATAAAAATACCACATCTTTTTCAACCATTCCTCAGGTGATGGGCATCTTGGTTGTTTCCAAGATTTGGTTATCACAAATTGTGCTGCTATAAACACAGGCACACATATATCCCTATGATATGATGTTTTCAGATCCTCGGGGAAAATTCCCAGTAGAGGAATAGCTGGTTTAAATGGGATTTCCAGTCCAACTTTTCTAAGGAGTCTCCACACTG